AGCATTACCTTCTAGCATTTACTTCCAGAAGAGCTTATACTGATTTTTTTTCTTTTAAGTGTCAGTTGAGGTCATTAATTTTTCTTTTTAATTTTTGCTATAGGGCATATGCACTTACCAGAGAGACAGAGAGAGAGGTGAGAACGCATCATCCCCTAGGGAGGATGGCCACCCCGCCATCCCTCCTCTTCCATTCTCCCCTCAGGATTTTGGTCACGCATGCATTCGTACCCAGCTCCCAGGTCCAGGATTCACACTGTGCAGTTGGCCATGTGGGAGTCTGTCACTCTAACCACTGCACCACCAGCTGGCCCAACAAGATATTTCCTGACCTAAATATTTTTCCATAGATTTTAAATTCTCCAAATTAGTTTAACTCCTAGGGGCCTCCTTAATGTTATATACATAATATGTCAATGTGAACATTAAGGCATTGTAAAGAGAGACTGGTTAGTAAACTAATTCAATGTCACTAGGCAAAGGCCTGAAGAAAAGGAAGATTTCTTTGGATTGAACAGAGGAGTCATATTCATCACTAAAGTGAGCGCATTTTTTGGAGCACGATACTTGTAGTTAGCAGTTCCTGATTTAGCACTGGTGTCCTAATCATTATCTATAAATTAGGTACTTCTGTTCAAATGCACAGTATGGCAAAGATAACTGTGAATTTTTCTTTTTTTTGGAGAGATATTTTTCTATAGGGTACATGCGCTCTCTGGAGAGAAAGAGACAAAGAAACAGAAAGTGAGAAATCATCCTTCAGGGGGAATGGCCACGCCACAATCCCGTCTCTTCCAGTCTCTTCGTAGGATTTTGGGCACACATGCACATGCACCTGGTGTGAGTTTTAAGCCACTAGGTCTGGAACTCGAAATGCAGTCGACTACATGGGAATACAACAATATAAGCATTACATCACCTGCTGGTCCTCTGTAAAACTGTTTTAACACATGATAATAATTTTCAGTTCTATAGAAAGCACCTGCATATAATCACACAATACTACTTTTATAATTTCCAACTTCATTAAAGATAGATTTTTTTTCAAACCAATTAGCATTGCATTTGGATGGTAAATTTCTTTTTTTTTTTTATTTGAAGAGGTTTTCACTATAGGACACGTGTGCTCGCCAGACAGACAGAGACAGAGAGACAGAAAGCGAGAAATCACCCCCCAGAGGGGATGGTCACGCCGCAATCCCTTCTCCTCCATTCTCCTCTCGGGATCTTGGGCATGCATGCACACGCGCCTGGCATGAGTTTTAAGCCACCGGGTCTGGGACGCGAACTGCGGTTGACTATGTGCGAGTCCAGCGACATAGCCATTACACTAACTGCTGCTTCCCTGGATGGTAAATTTCTGAAAAATATTTTATTTATACCCATTTTACCTGCAAAAATTTCTATTCTTTAAATACAGTTATTGAAATTGATATTTCAGATAGGAGTACATATTCTCTGTGACAATGTAACTACTGGTTGTTAACAGATGAACTGATTATGTTTAGAATTAAAGGAAATATCCACAATATCTATATATAAAAATTATGTTTAGTCTTAAGTAACAGAAAGAAATTATTTAAATACATTTCGCTATTTACTTACCTTACCTAATGAGAAGTCATGTGATAAATGATTTTAAGGTGTTAGAATGAGGTCTCTGAGAGTCTCCTCACCTTTTCCTGTTAGTTGCAAAATGCTTGCCCCGTCCTGATTATCATATCTAGATTCAGATAGCAAGAAAAGAAGAGGTGTTGTACATATTTGAAAAACAAGAATTTCCTCTAATACTTTATTAATCAGAAGGATGTCACATGACCACATATGTAGGAGTGTCTGGGAGGTATGATTTTTAGCATGCATATGCAACAACCAGTAAAATTATGGTTTTTGTTGTAAAGGAATAGGAGAGAATTCAGATTATGTAGGCAACTATCAGCCCTTTCAGTGAGATTATTTCACACATCACTTTTCACAACTTTTATTCTATGATTAAAAAGTGCTAGTTAAGTCTATATAAATAGAGGTGAGGAAATTCTTGCAAGACCTAAAAGAGAAAATACACATTTTAAAGAAGAATCAAAGGGATCTGTTAGAGATGAAGGCTATAATACAGGAAGTCAAAATCTCCCTTGAAAGTATTAAAAGTAGACTAGCTCATACGGAAAATAGAATCTCAGATGTAGAAGAGAAAATTGCTAGCCTAGAAAAATCCACCACAAAGACTGAGAAAATTGCCCCCCAAAATGAGAATACTATACAAGAAACATTAGATACCATCAAATGTCTAAACATCTGTATAATTGGTATCCCAGGAGTCGAAGAGACTGATAAGGGTATTGATAATCTATTCCATGAAATCCTGCAAGAAAACTTCTCAAACCTAGAGAGGCAGTCAAAGATCCAATCCCAAGAAATACAAAGGACCCCAAATAGTATCAACCCAAGAATATCTTGTCCAAGACACATTATAGTCAGATTTACGAAAACCACAGACAAAGACAAGATACTAAGACTGGCAAGGGAAAAACAGCAAGTTACCTACAAAGGATATCCCATCAGGCTGACAGCAGACCTCTCATCGGAAACAATACAAGTGAGGAAAGAATGGGAAAATATATTCAAAGGGTTAAGAGAAAAGCAATTTCAACCAAGAATACTGTACCAGGCAAGATTATCCTTCATATGGGAAGGAAAGACAAGAACATTCTCAGATAAACAGAACCTGAAAGAATTTACCAGCACCAGACTATATCTCCAAGAAGTTCTCAAGGGAGTGCTATACCAGGAAAATAAAGACACACAGGAATAAGAGTTCAAAAACTAAGAAAATGGCCAACTTACTCATAGGGACAAGTCTAGAGTTGAATATTATATCCCAGAATTTAATCAGGAAGATGGAACCATAACAGAAGATAAAGTACATGAGACTGAACTGGTGAAATAGCATTTTATGATTTTTGACTAAAACATTGCTGATTTTCTTCTTGGCTTCGTTTTCCAATTTTAAGGATTTTTGTCATGTCTTGAGCTGTCAATAGGTTCATGTGCCTACTATTTAAACAGAATCTTAACCTGTTTCCTGGCTTTAGGTTTTAGGTAAAGAGCCTTAGCATGTCTTTGATTTATTAAAGTTAAAACTGCTTTTCTTGAAATTATCAGCTGAACTTGCTATTGAAAGTAGTTAGATTATTTAAGAAATTGTGTGATCAATAAATTGTGGGGGAAATAGGAATGGAAAACAACTGTACATACCAGAGATAGTGTGGGAGGTAGGTGAGAAAGGGCAGAGGGTCAGAAATAGGGGTACTATATATATATATATACACACACACACACACACACACACACACGTGTATACACACACACATATATACACACACACACATATATATGTAACTAGAAATGGAAAATTATAACATCCATGATTAAGCCACTATGCAGTATATTCTGGATGGGAAATCACATTTAGTGTGCTATGACGATGCTTAGGGAATGAATGTAAATTAATTCATTAAAAAATAGTTTCAGGAAAAAGAGAAGCTCATGGAAATACATGTAATGGGAAAACTATGTATGGATTTAAAAAACTTTTTGTACCAAAATAAATTCATACTTTAATTGTAAAAATATAAAATAAGAGAGAAAAAAATAAATAAAGGATTGTACAGAATAGGATAATGAAAAAGAACTTAACCTGTTAAACAAATTTATATAGATTTTCTTTTAAAAATATAAATGTATATATTCGAATATATCTTTCCTCCAAATATGTTTTGCCTCTGTGTAATTGATCAAACTCATTAGTAGTCTTACAAAATGTATTATTATTGATCCTTCTAGTGCATTTATTACTATACAGTTCTCATATAGCTCACTTGATAGCTATTACAAAAGCAATATTTCTGCAATGCACTAGTCACACAGACTAGCTGTTTAATAACTAATGTTGTGCTACTCAGAAAGGGATCTGACTTAAGCTCAAGGATCTGTGTACAATCTTTCCTTAAAGAAGAGCGACCATCTCTCCCCCATGTTCACTCTCCCATAGGCACTATATGTGGATGGTGACCAAGAGAGCTCCACTAATAAGTACACAATTTACAAAAATGTACAAAAGTCAAGGAGTTGACAACTTCTAGGATATAAAAAGAAATCCAATAGCCCTTGATAATCAATTCATAAAAAGTAGTTATTTACAGCAAGTCAATAAGGAAAATGTAAAAAAAGATGGCCTCATAGCACTTCAGTAATTTGCTCCATACCTATAAAGCAATATAAGCAATTGAGAACTAGAGAAAGCATCTACTTGCACACCCTGCTTCTTCAGAAGGATGAGATCAGAAGGGCCAGAACTGATGGAAGTGCCACAAGTGCTCATGAGTAAATGCACTTGCAGGATGTACAGGAAAGCAGATTAACTGAGGAATTGTGAATGGATGACAGATTGTGAAGATTTATATTGTGAAGTAAAGAAAGTCTGAGACGGTTTCTTTTTCTGATAATAATCAGTCACCTTCTCTAAAGAATCTATTAAGTTCTATAAGTGATCATCATTATGAGCAAAGAGTAGTAAAAATGAGTAGTAGGTATAGATTGTTGCTTATATAAACTAGGCAACATGACATAGTTTCGGGGTGATTTAACTTAAAAATGTTCAAGGGCTTTTCTGGCTGTACATTTTTCATAATGCCTTAAATTTATTAATGATGATATTGCCATAATTTTTCCCCCTAGAATCCTTTGGTTTCATTAAAGGGTTGGTTACTATGTATAATTTATGAAAAAAAAATACTCCAAATGCACAGACATGCCTTTATTATTCTTGTTATTTGAGTAAATCATTTGCAAATGCCTAAGTGCTACAATAAATTGTCATAGTATAAATGGAAAGAAACATGGTAAAAGTACAAGTGTAACATATGTGTTAGTCCCATCTGTATCAAAGAGCCTACGAAATAAAGCACATAGTATATCTTTTTGGTTTTGTTTCATTTCAGTGGTTGGAAACGATGGATTTTATGTAATACTGAAAGGCCTAGCTCGACCTCAAACAAAGGTGCCTGAAAATCTGATCAAAGAAAATGACTCAACAGTCTGTTCCATACCTCAGAGTTTACAGAGTTTTATCTTCAGTGATGACCTTGAAAGTGCTAAACTTGCTGAGATGCTCCCACCTTCACGTGATTCAATGGTAAGAGATGATGGCTTTTTCCATAAGCAACAAGGTAACATGATTGTAGAATGTGATCTGTTCAGGATATCTGGATCCAAATATATTCAAGTCCTAAAATGGTACATCCTTCAACATATAAATTATGCTATTCATATTTAATTTGGAATTTGAATGAAAATTTTTGATGAGGGAATCCCTTCAATGTCATACTGCCCTCTGGCCAGGATTGTCTGGTGTACTTAGTTGACACAAGGTCAGTGTGCCCTGATCACTGAAAGAGGAAACATGGTAGTTTGAGATGTGAAAAAGGAACAATGGGTTGAGGAGGGAAAAACATACAATCGATGATGAAAAAACTTAAAATGAAATCAACCGAGTGTGTTTATCATGTTTGTTGTGAGGGAAATGCTAAGATAATTAAGGACTTGTTTAAATTACAACCAGAATTTCTTTCTTTATTTTTTGGAGAAGTTTTTGCTATAGGGCATGTGCGCTCGCCAGAAAGACAGAGACAGAGAGATAGAAAGTGAGAAATCACCCCCAAGGGATGATGGCCATGCTGCAATCCCTTCTCCTCCTTTCTCCTCTCAGGATCTGGGGCACACATGCACACATGCACACATGCCCGGTGTGAGTTTAAGCCACCGGGTCCGGGACTTGAACTGTGGTCGACTACATGGGAGTTCAGCGACATAGCCATTATGCTAACTGCTGGTCCCCAGAATTTATTTCTTAAAGAAAATAGTTTGCCTATGTGTAATATTGTAAGACTACTAGTCATTTAAAAAAAAAAATGATACCTTTCTGAATCTCTGGATACTCCACATAGGGAACAGGACTACTTTGACTAGAATTGTTGCTGAAAATTCAGTTCTTTACTTAGGGTAGCTAAGATGACCAGAAATAAAAAGAGTCAAAGGAATTAATTAAAACAAATTAAGTACTATAGGTTGAAGTCAGAAAAACCTAGAACCGGTATCAAGATGAAGGAAAATAAGCATGAATACAGTCAAGAAAGAAAAGCAAAGATAAAAATGAGAAAAGCCCAGAAAAATATGTTTTCATCCATCGCATATGAATTATTAACATTTCTGGTCTGTTTCTTGACTTAAATGAAAAGGATATATTTGCTCTATCAGTGTGACAAGCCACGTACCTGATGTCTTAGCCACTTTTAGTGAAAACGTTACATTTGGCATAATAGCCTGAAATACGGCTCTTTCTTTGTTGAGTTTGTAGTAGTCAAATCCAATGTTCAAGGGTACATTTTCTTTTTCTTTGAGAGGCTTTTGCCTTGACAGTGAATGAGAATGAGTTATCACTCCCCCAAGGGGAATGGCCATGCTGCAACCCCTTCTTCTCCTTGGGATCTTGGACACGGGCATACATTTGCCTGGTATGAGTTTCAAGCCATCAGGTCCGGCACTTGAACCAAGGTTGGTCACGTGGGAGTCCAGTGACATGACTGTTATGCCATTTGCTTTAAGGGCCAAACTTGTGACTTCAATGAGGACCTGGTGGGAGCCCCCAGCTCTGCATCCTGCTTTGGTCTTTGGGAGCGATATTCATCTCTGACGTTCCCTTGAGATATGATGTTATTTTTAATAACCTATTTTGGCTAGAGTGAGGAGACAGAAAGGAGGCTTCTATTTGTTCTTTACTATAATAGCTCTTACCACATAGACCAAGAAATCACCATGGAGGTTATGCAAGCTATCAAATTTCCATTTGAATGATGCATTTATGAGTTATAGAAATTGTTATGGGGTAGGTCTAAGGACCAAGTGAAGACATTGTGAGCTAAACCTGGACCCAAACTCTATTATTATTATTATTATTTTTATTAATTTTGCTATTTCTTCACTGTAGCAGGTGGCCTAGAAGGCATTTCATGTAGCACGATTTCGATGTTACTATGTAAAATTTCAGGTCTGCCTCCATTTCTCAATGAGGACTTTGGCCTTAGTACAAAACACAAAAAAATATTTCCTTGGCTATATATGTATATATGTGCTATATATGTATATAGATGTTCTATAAATGTTATATACATGTTTTTCTTTTCTTTCTTTTTTTTTCTTTGCTGTATTATGTGAGAGAACCAAACTACGAGAAAGAAGGAAAAAGTAAATCATCCTCAGTATTCAATTTAACCCTCCAATAGTTTTTTTTTTTTTTTTGAAGAGGTTTTTGCTATAGGGTGCATGCGCTCGCCAGACAGACAGAGAGACAGAAAGCGAGAAATCACTCCCCAGAGGGGATGGCCATGCCGCAATCCCGTCTCCTCCATTCTCCTCTCGGGATCTTGGGCATATACGCACACGTACCCAGTGTGAGTTTTAAGCCACCAGGTCCAGGACGTGAACCGTGGTCTACTACATGGGAGTCCAGCGACATAGCCATTACGCTAACTGCTGGTCCCGACCCCTCCAATAGTTTTGTAAACAGATGGGTATAAAGTATAAAACCCACAGTCTAAGGATGACATTCATATTTCATAAGAAATGTATTTAAATATCAGTCTAAATTCTCAGAAATTTTTGCCCTCTAAGTGTTGAAGATGAAATCCTCTTTATATGTTGCCAAGGAACCGTAGGATTAGATAATTCATCTTAAACTGGTGATTGATTTTTCTCAGCCTTTCATTGTTTTCCTCTGGTGCATTGATACAGCCCAGTAATAGTCATTCCATTTCATGGTTCTTACAGTTACTCATTCCTGGCATCACAAAGGGCCTGTGGTATTAGACTTCCCAGTGCATGCTCTTCTACCAGTACCTTCTGCCCATTCAACACCATTAAAGTTTTAGCTGCACAGATTCAGCATGTCACAGACTGCCAGTGCTCCACTGATGAATTCTTACTGCTAGCTGGCTGGCAGGCGGTGCAGCACTAAAATCCGCTCTAAAATCCCATTTTTTCATTTTAAATAGGAACTTCTGGAAAAAAAAAAAAAAGAAATCAAGGTAGATGATTTCGTTAACTGTCAGCAACTCTGCAGTGTTTTTGTCGTTTTAATTTAGCTGAAGGACAATTATATGATTATTGACAACAATTTTAGAGTGTTAGAAATTCAACTTTAGAAACTTGACTTTTTATGTATTTATTGAGTGGAGTTTTCTGACTAGGACAGTTGTGTAGTTTCACACAAATAATCAAAGGGTGATCACTTTCTTCTCCTTTCCTTGGCTTTTTATGTCATTATTTGTTTTTTTTTATTGTAATGTATCAGAAAATCACACTACAAAGAAGAAAAACGTAATAACATCTCCATGCTTCAATTTAACCCTCTAACAGTTTTGTGGACAATAGCCATCATTGGAGAATAATGATCATAAGATGAAGAACATAGTCTATGGAGCAAATACGTATTTTACGAGATGCTTTACAGTTCTGAGCAAAAAATGGTGGTGTTGCAAATATCTGCCCTACGTACTTCTGGCTACAGAGGTAAAATGGAGAAAATTAGTGCAGCACAAACACACAGTGACATTTTTTTTTCATTTTGCTTTTATTGACATAGGTTTATTTATTAAAGCTACAAGTTTTTTAGTAGAATATTCTATCAAATAAAAGAGGACAAATTATACATTCATTTACAAAATTACCAAGTTAGTGCTTCTAAGTTGCTTTAGACTCTTTAATTAATTTTTATTTTTTCTAATTAGTTCCATAATTTTTCAATTTATAATCATAAGGAAATACAAAATTCTTATTAGAAACATCTCAGTATAAGGACCAGCAGATGGGATGATGGTTATAATGCTGGACTCCCATGTAGTCAACTTTGGTACGAGTCCTGGATCCGGTGGCTTAAAACTCATGCCGGGTGCATGTGCGCATGTGCCCAAAATCCTGAGAGGGAAATTGAGGAAAAGGGATTGTGGTATGACCATCTACTAGGGAGTGATTTCTCACTTTCTGTCTCTCTGTCTCTCTCTCCAACAAGCACATACATCCTATTACAAAACTCTCTTTTTTTTAAAAAAAGAAAAAATAAGAGGTATAGTATATATGGCAAAATACACATGTTATTCTATATTTTATATTTATATACTGCTGTATTTAATATATATGTATTGCTATGCTACAATATACACATATTTTATTAAAATATATATTTATATAAAATTGAGCAACCTTTTAAAGCAAATTATTAAGTATTAAGGTGAGGATCCTCAATAGCTATTAAATTGATTTTCTAGTTTATTAATAGCAGTTTTAGTTGCAATCCAAACATTTAAAGCTTTGTGAAAAAATATTATTAGATACAAATGTGTTTTCAACAACTGGATTCAGTTGGGACAAAATTATAAAATAAGTCTTTTTTTTTTTTGCATGCCAAAGTTCTCAAACAATCTGTAGCATTCTTCCACCATGCTTCATGAATGAAATATCAATCAGATCCCAGGGGTTAACAAATAACCTCTTCTCTTTCTTTTTTTTTTTTTGGAGAGATTTTTCGCTACAGGGCACATATGCTTGCCAGATAGACAGAGAGAGACATAGAGACAGAAAGAGAGAAATCACCCCCCAGGGGAGATGGTCACGCCGCAATTCCTTCTCCTCCATTCTCCTCTCGGGATCTTGGACACGCACGCACACGCGTCCAGTATGAGTTTTGAGCCACAGGGTCCAGGATGCAAACCGCGGTCGACTACGTGGGAGTCCAGAGACATAGCCATTATGCTAACTGCTGGTTCCCAAACCTCTTCTCTTTCTTTCTTCCTTTCTCTCTTTCTCTTTTTCTTTTTTTTTAATTATTAAAAAAATCCAGTTCTGTTTTTACATCTAATTTTCAAATGTCATTTTTGATAGCTTAATTCATGCTTTATTGTACCATTAAGTCCTGTGGTGGAGACAGGGGTTTTAATGGTTTTATTCTCCCTATTTTACTTTTCATCCTCTATTCAGTAGCAGCTCTTTTTCTGGCTCCTCTTTGCTAGGATCTGGAAAGGAGAGAGCATGGGAATTGGTTAAATGCTATGGAAAACTTATGTGACTAATGACTAAATGCCC